CAAAAATGAAAATCTGCTAAACAAAAAAAGTGAAATGGTATCTAAGTGCAAGCATTGAAACAAGTTCCTTCTTGCCCTATTCAACACGGGTGGTTGAGCAATTTTCTAATTAATTAAAAAATTGTTTGTTTTGACGTCAGAATTCATTCCATTGCATTATTATTGTTTTTTTCTGTTAATTTCTGTATTTTGTATTTTTTAACAGATTTTTCTTAATTTAAAGAATAAAATATGGCTGATGATTGCCGAAGAGCATGAAACTTTAAGTTCCATCACAAAGTTGTATTTTTTCAAATAATCAAACGATTTATATAATATATATATATATATATATATATATATATATATATATATATATATATATATATATATATATATATATATATATATATATATATATATATATATATATATATATATATATATATATATATATATATATATATGTATGAGTTACTGTTTATACACATTATACAAATAAATGATGATTTAATATTTAAAACATTATACACATTATACAAATACATGATGATTTAATATTTAAAATAAAAAAAAGAATACAATTTTAAAGCTTAAAAACCCCTTATATCAAAATATTCACTTACACACATTAATTGAATTTAGAACTTTTGATTGCAAGTTCTAAAAACCTATATAAAAAAAAAAAATAAAGTGCTTTAATTGATTATAATGGTTTTTTTTCTTTTTTTTCTTTATATAAATTGCTATTATTATTAATTATATATACATATATATATATATATATATATATATATATATATATATATATATATATATATATATATATACACACATGATATAATATATCATTTGTATAAACATATATATATATATATATATATATATATATATATATATATATATATATATATATTTATATATATATATATATATATATAATATTGTAGTATTTTTAGAAATAGTACAATTGTATATTATGCATGTTTGGTAAGAAAAAATTTAAAATTATTTCATATTTCTGACAACATGTTGTGGGATTACTTTTAATGATATTCAAAGTTACCCTACATGCGAAAAAATTTATACAACAAAATATATTATGCTACACCACTGGTTAATAACTGTAGCAGACCAACGAACTCCTTTAGTTTTTATATAATTAATAAATTTTTAAACAAAACTTTTACAACTTAGACAACAATCTGCTAAACGAGGCAGCGTATAAAGTATTCTGAATTATTTTTTTTGAAAAATATCGTAAATATTAAAATGATTTTAGAAGGCACAATAACAACCAATAAACATTGTAAGACTTTAAATAATCAAAATATAAACTATTTTTTAAATTTTGATATTTAAGGTTTGAACAGTTTCATATAAATATGAAATATAATTTGTGTCCAAAGTTACCCCGCTATTTAAAGTAACCCGGTACATTTTATTTATTACAAGTAATTACGGTAGCAATTTATTTTTATGTTTTAATTAGTTCTTTTAATTATTTTCCAAACATTTTTCAAACTTTTGTTCTTTTAACTTGGTTCTTTGCTTTTAATTTATTTTTCTGTTTTGTTTAAAAGTATTAAGACCTTCTTCATTTTTCTCACTTTTAATTTTTTCTTTTGCTTACAATACATATTACAACACAACTTTATAGTATATATTTCATAATTTTTAAAAAGATTTTTTCAATACTAAATTTATAGTTAAAATATTTGAGAAATTTTTAGGTATATAATTAAATCTTTCAATATAACAATTAGCTTTATTAAAGATTTTATATATAACTTTTTAAGTTAACTGTAATAAACACTTGCCGTATAAGTTTGTCCAACTGTATACTGAGTTGAGGCTGTCAAATCAAATGAATCAGAAATAGTAGTAACTATCTTTCTAAATGATGTTCCTGGAATTGTAACAGCTAAAAAAAAAAATAATAAGGTATTTGAAAATAGATACATTTCATAAAAGGTTGAAAATATGATTGGTTGCTAATTTCATACTGCAACAATGACATGACTTTGCTTTAGACTAACTTTTTAACAATGGTGACAAAAGCAGTGACACCATGATTAAAAATTGATACATGATACCAATAAAAAATAAGGGTTGTATGGTTTCTTTACTATTTTTTGTTATTTTTATAATTTTTATAATGTTTTATAACTTGTTTATTTATAACTATGTAATTTTTTTAACTATGTAATTTTTATAACTTGTTTGAAAAAAATTAAAGAATATATATTATATATTAGGACTCATGCCTTCTTCATGCATCACTAAATGTGTATGCTATAAAATTTCATGAAGTAATAATAACCAAGTTGCTTCAAAAATCAAATAACTTTTTTCCAGAAAAAATTAAAAAACTTGGAATGCTTATTTAACAAGAACTTACTTAGCTGAACATACTGGTTTGAAGTGACACCAATTGATCCTTTTAATAAACCTCCAAGATATAAAAAACTTTTTGTTGCCATGCTGTATCCAGGACTATTATTCCAAGTTAAACCAGAGGCTAAAAGTAAAAATGTTCTATATTCATTGGAATGATATATACATAACATATAAAAAAATCAAACAAATTCACCAATAAAATAATATTGTTAACAACTTTGAGGTTGATTATTTCTGCTACTTGTTTGCAGGTTGTTTCATAAAACATTAAAATATCAATCAATTATGTTTTTTCTACTGTTTTTATTTTGTTTTTAGTAAGCAAGTTTGTAATATATTTGTAAACTAGTTTTTAATTGTAAAACTAGTTTCAAATAAATTTGTAAACTAGTCATATGAATGTTTTAGAAAAAGTTCAATCTTCATACATTCAATGTGTTATGCAACATGCATGCATCAATCAACATTAGCTGAACTTGGAAACATTTTATTGCTGACCCAATGTACATTTAATATTTTCATATTTACGTTTATTGCTTAAAGTAAGTTCTATGTTTTCCTTGTCTTTTTTTTATTACTCTAGACAAAATAAAACTTTAAAAGTACTTTACTTGCAATATTACCAGTTAAATGCCCCACTTTGGCTTTGCTTTTCACCGCTTTGCCTTTGCTTTTCATTTTTTTATAGTCTTCTATGTTTTAACAAAATGTTTATCTTCAGTTAATAGTAATGAGTGTTAATTTTAGTAATATTTATAAGTTTAATCACAGCACTTTTAATTTTTTTCATATTTATTTGAGATCATATTTAAAATGGAAGTTTTTCTTGGGCCTTATTTTTTTCTTTGAAATGATCTTTATTACAAAATGCGATAAGCATCAAAGCTTTAAATTAAAATAGTCAAATTGGCTGTAGCTGCTTTGTGTGGCTGATTATGGTAATTCCTTTGCAATCAATATTTTGCTTCTTTTAAAAAGTTTCCAAATCAGTATTAAAAAAAGTCTAAATTTTGTAGATAATTAAAAAAAAATGTATGAGATATCACTATATAACATATATATAACTATATAAATATTGTATATAACATAATTAAATAAGTTAAAATACAAGCTTTCATTATCAAAAATGCATTCCATTAAACTATGCTATTTACTCAATGGTTCATCCATTTTATGTTTTTATTTCATTTAATTTTTATTTTATGCTTTGCATAATTTATGCTGTTTAATGCTTATTATTATCAGTAAACTTTGGATATTAGTAAACACAACAAACTATGAATTATAGTAAATAAACTGAAAAAAAAAACAACAGGATTTAAAAAAAAAGAATGAAAAAAAAAAGATGAAAATCAAGAAATAATAAAAATATTTATGAAGTAATCTATTTATTTATGCCTTAATATATAAATCCAAACATAAAAAAATTTTATTTAAAAATCTTCAAAAAGATATTTGAATGCCTTAAACATTTTTACAATTTTACTTTTTTGTTCCGGTGTCATGAAATAAATTAACCACCATAATAAATTAACTCCTGTAGCGTAAAAAGTTATCTGTGGAATTAATCTATTTTGAAATAGATTAACTCCCCTTGAAATAAATAAACCCCTGTCGGCGAAACAGATTAACTCCTTATAATTTTTTAACTCCCTTGGAACAACTTATACGAATTACGGAAAAAGTTTTTCTACTTGATTTCCAAATATGTTAATTTGTTTTAATATGGTATAATAACAGTAGCACTATATATATCTTAAGCATTAATATATATTTATACATTTGATATATATGTATATTGAATATTTCTACCGATATATTACTATTCGATATATATGTCTATCGAATACTACCATATATAGTTTCTACTAATTTATTGCTCTGTTCTTTTAAGAACATTCAGCACTCTATTTTAGAGAATGCATTTAAAATTATTGTTATATATATATATATATATATATATATATATATATATATATATATATATATATATATATATATATATATATATATATATATATATATATATATATTTATATATATATATCCACTTCTAACAGCAAGAAGTGTATCATAAAAGATTAAAAAAAAGATATACGCTATATGAGTCTAGATAAAATGATACGTAGCAGTGAAACATATGCAATAAAGATTATGTCCATTTAATGATGTCCACTATTTGGAAAGAATTGAAAAGGCAACAATCAGATAGATAGGCGGTGCAACTCTAAAAACAAGAAAAGAAGTGGTAATTTTATATAGAGATTAGGAATAGTGAGTGTATCTGATAGGGTGCATTATTGAAGATTAAGGTGTAAATTATGTTGGTGGGCGATGCCACTGTTACTTACGGTACATTTTGATTTTTGTAATGTCACATTTTATTATTTATTTCAACAGATTATATGTTTATATATGATTCATCCCAAAATCATTTATTCGTTTTCCTGTATATTGAAGTTTCGTCAAATTATTATAATCATAGGAATTATAGTTGATTATATGCTGTGTTACTTACGGGACGCAAAAAATCATTGCATTAAACCTGTTGTTTTCAGTTGAAAATTTTAAGCCAAATATTTAACCTACATAAACTGGCTACTTAAATTAAATGAAGTAGTTGTTACTCTGCGTAAAACTATTTAAAAGATTGTTTTAGGTTTATGTGGACTCGAAGGATAAATGACAACTGAATAATTTCTTTTTAACTTTTTATTACCTAAAACAATTAGAAATATTATAAAACAATAATAATATTGATCAATTTCATCACATATGAAATTGATCAATATTATTGATGACATGACATCTCCCTGACATTTTTAAGTTTTAAATAGTCTATTGTTCAAAGATCGAACCGATTTGGAGTCGCGCGCATTCAAGTTGATCGTCTTGGTAAATATCATATTCAACCTTATTGAACATGGCAGGGCGAGACTCACTGGATGTGTAGGAAGATCCAATGAAACAGTCTCATTTAGTTTTTGTAACTAGTATGCATTCTTATCTGGTTCTTGTAACAGGTGTGCAGTAGATTGTTTCGATAAGCTTAGATACCGTTTTAACTGTAACTTAACTGTATGTGAGTCTTAAGTTAGTGGTGCAGGTGACGAATAGAAATCATAGATTCACGAACGTAAGCATGCTAAATAAGCGCATATTGTAGGTTTGCTTCCATTAGGAATACCTCATCTACATCAAATTTAAACTTAGAATTTTTAAGATGTCTCTTTAATAACACCTTGCCAGGTTGTGCAAGCAATAATTCGACTGAATGTCCATCAGCAGAACATCTTTGATACGTAAAGAGTCCTTCATGAGGAGTTTCATTAGTAGTGTCTTGATTTTTTTCACATTTTTTGTTGTTATAGGTTAAATTCTTTGCTTTACCAGCTAAAAGGAAGCATTTTAAGGTTGTAGTCATGATTCTTTTGCATCTTTCCACAGGTTGTCAAATTATCAAAATAAGCAAAAGTCTTTCAATATCTCATCAGCAATAAAATTGTCCACTGTTTTTTGAAATTACTCCTTACTTTTGAGTTACTCTGTTTGTCACACTAAAAGGCATACACATGAACTGATGTAAACCTCTGTCAGCTTCTAATGCAGTAAACAGACGGTATTCTTGTTTAATTGGGATCTGGTGATTGTAAATTTTGCTTAAAAGTTTAACTACTTGTGGTAGAGGGTAGACATCAAGACATAAAACAATTGATAGTTTGACAATAGTTTATGACTAGGCACTTTTTTGATCTCTTGTTTGTTACAATGTCTTGTGATCTCCATGGTGATGTTAAAGGTTCCATAATTCCTTCTTTGTAAAGGCGTTGTACTTCAGAGCTAAAAAAATTTCTGTCTTCAGCACTGTAGAGGCGAGATTTTGAGGCTATTAGTTTACAGTCAGACATTTGAAAAATTGGATTTATACAACTAGTAGTAGTGCTAATGTTAGTTTTAAGATAGATGCATCTGTTGAGTTAGTGTTATTTTGCTTTGAAAGATATTACAATAGTTTTGTCAAACATAACCTCTAATTTTATGGATCTATTTTTGAGAAGTCGTTATTGGATTTCATTATAAGTTATACCACTGATAAAGGAGTATGTCAATGTTTTCTTGAGGTAACACATCTAAAAAATATTCAAAAGTTTTAAACCAATGTTTAAATTCTTGGTTCTTGATGGTGTGTTTGGAGGTGATTCAAATCGTGCTGGTCGTAGAGCTTTGTCCTTTTGTTCTTTGTAACACAATGAATTACAAGTTAATAAAATTGTTGTGGACTCGAAGGATAAATGACAACAATTGAATTATTACTTTTTAACTTTTTATTAACTAAAACAAAAGAAGAAATATTAATATAACAACAATATTATTGATGTTAAATATTATCACATGACTACTTATTTATGTATGTAAAATCAACTTAGTTATTTTTACTTACAGAGACAATTCTACACTTTTATCAAAATGTAGATTAGCTACCATTTATATAGAAAATATGAGGCATGACTTTAATTTGAAATTTAAAACAAAAACAAAACACTTAAGTAACATTATTAATCAAAATTAAAAATTTTTAAACATAAGGTAACCCAGTGATTCCTTTGCTAAAATAATCAAATTTATTTAATTAAAATAATTAAATTAAAAAATAATTTAAAATAATTAAATTTAAAATAATTAAATTTATTTAACTATTTTATTGAAATAACTCAATTAAGACCTAGTGTATTGTACAAATAGAGTGCTCAATATTCTTAAAGAACAGAGCAGTAGTAAATTAGTATAAACACTTATCTAATTTTGACAGTCGAGGAAAATTAGATGAGTGTTTTTACTAATTTATTTATATACATATATATGTATATATATACATATATATAAATATATTTATATACATATATATATATATGTGTGTGTGTGTGTGTGTGTGTGTGCGTGTGTGTGTGTTTAAACTATTTTAAAAATGTATTCTCCAAAATAGAGTGCTAAATGTTCTTAAAAGAACAGAGCAATTATAAACTAGTAGAAAATCACTTGACAAAAATTTTTTTTCCTTTTACACTGTGTTTCATCAATAAAGACTCATCAGAATTTTCTGATGAGTCTTTATTGATGAAA